ATTTATAGTGAGGCATTAAAAAAAAAAAGGATAATTTACTTTTAACAAGGAACCTGTTTTCATAGATATTCACTTGTCCATGTCTTAAACATAGGGAAATACACCAAGAGATATTCAAGTTTATACAAGTTTCCCTCCTGTAATCCATTTCCTCCTTAATAGGGAAATTCTAATAATTCCAGGGTGGTAACAGTTGTGTAAAAAAGAATATAAGCACAAGGCCAACAATTCAGCATTACCAAATTCTTCTGCAGCAACAAGGCATGGGCAGAACATAACTGCGAAAATACTTATTTATTAAATAACCTTGATAAATTGGAAACTTTTCAAGGAATTCTTAGAGAAGGAAGGACCAAACTTACTTCTAACATACTGAAACTTAAAAAGAAAAGTAAACTCCTGTGTTTCCTGCTTTCACTAAAACAAGCCCGAAGAAACATATTCTTTATCTGCAAGATAACACTTCTATTCAGAAGGATTTCCATGAACTAATCCACCTGAAGGGTCAGCTTTTTGCTGCATCAACATGCCAGGTTTCTTCTACCCTATTAATGATTAGGTTTTCCTAGAGAAAATAATATTTTTATTTTCTTTTTATGTTATACATTACTAAGATCTTTAAAAAGAGAAAATTGGGTGCACCTGGGTGGCTCAGTCAGTTAAGTGTCCAACTCTTGATTTCAGCTCAGGTCATGATCTCATGGTTTGGGAGATCGAGCCTTGCATCGGGCTGCATGCTGATAGTGCAAAGCTTGCTTGGGATTCTCTCCTTTCTCTCTGCCCCTCTCCCTGCTCCCATGCTCTCTCTCAAAGTAAATAAATAAGCTTAAAATAAAGAAGTATTAAAAATAAATTTAAAAAATTTCTTTATTTATTTTTGAGAGACAGAGGCAGAGCATGAGCAGAGGAGCGGGAGAGAGAGAGAGAGAGGGAAAGAGAGAGAGAGAGAGAGAGATACAGAATATGAAGCAGGCTCCAGGCTCTGAGATGTTTGTTAGCACAAAGCCCAACAAGGGGCTCGAACTCATGAACTGCAAGACCATGACCTGAGCTGAAGTCAGATGCTCAACCGACTGAGCCACCCAGGTGCCCCTAAATAAATTTTTTAAAATAAAAAGAAAATCGGAAAATTCACCTTGAGTTTCTGAACCAGTACTTGAATTTGAATTACACTTACACTAACAAATTTAATACCTGGGGACAAGGCTGGTAGCGCTTACCAGTATCTTTGTAATGACACACTACCATCAAGTATCAGGGTTTGATGATCATCTTATTCCTTCAAACACCAGGCCGGGAATTACTTGAGAGAAGTGATTTACCCAAGCATCTTTCCCAGCACCTAACCCCCATGGTTTTTAAATAGTAGGTCCTTCTTCCTAATCCTTGTTAAATACATGGAGCCCAAATGTTCCTATCTGTTAGTTACACGTCAATATCTTCTTGTAGCAATCTATTTGTACATCTGTCCCTAAGGTGAAAGTTAATCTTTGAAAAGCATTTGATTCAGGAGCGCCTGGGTGATACAGTTGGTTAAGCATCTGACTTCAGCTCAGGTCACGATCTCATGGTTCATGAGTTCGAGCCCCACGTCAGGCTCTATGCTGACAGCTCAGAGCCTGGAGCCTGCTTCAGATTCTGTGTCTCCCTCTTTCTCTCTGCCCCTCCCCTGCTCACACTCTGTCTGTCTCTCTCTCAGAAATAAATAAACATTAAAAAAATTTATAAAAAGCATTTGATTCTGATTCGTGTTTTGGCTGTCTTATTCAATCAGCAAATTCTTGATAACTAAATCATTACAAATATTAGTTGTTTCATAAAACTAGTTAGTCTAAACACAGCACAACAAGCCAATGGAAATAAAGAGAAGTGAATTTTTGAAGAGAAAAAAAGAACAACTAGCAGTGTCTGGTACATAATAGGCCATCAATAAATATTTGGTGAATCAACAGACTGCTGCTTAAACATATATATATATTTTAACCTATATATATTTAGGTCAGAAGGTAAAACAATTCCTTTGTGGAGTATAGAAGCTCCAACATAGGTTCACACAGAAGTCTGATTTTGGCAAATGCTCTAGGATTTAGGATTACCAACTGTAAAATAAGAGTAAATTTACAGGCTAGACAGTGATTGGCTGATCAAGCCTGGGCCTGGGATACATCCAGCACAGGTAAACAAGAATTTCAAGTCATTATCCCTGTGCATACAGGCAGTATCAGTGCCAGCAATACCAAGTCAGCCTTTCTGGCAAATCCATCAAAATTAATTCTTAAATGTTTGAAAAAACTAATATGTTTATGATGCCCCTTCAAGCTTGAGGCTTAACTACCTGTGGGAAGGGCCTATAATTCTGATCAATTACTTATGACTTGAAGGCGCTTACAGAGATATCTGTCCTTTTAAGAAACCTTTTAAGAACCAGCCCTAGCATTGTAAAGCTGACACTGTGGGGCACCAATAAGTCACAGGTTTGGGGGTCCAACTTTGACAACTCTCCCTTGGAAGGAAAAGAATTGTTGTTACCTGTCCTTCATTTCCCAACCCTGCCTGAACAAATATTAGCAACCTTCAAAATCTGGAATTCCTAGTCTACTTAAGGAAGTCATGGGGACCAAAGATTGCCCCAAGGCAGAGGCAAAGAGAAGAAACAGGAAGGAAACAAAATGGAATGGAGATATGTAGCTCATGAAGATGACATCATCAGTAATTTTTTTTCAAGTGCCACTGAATTTCATGGCATAGGACTGATGGGTCTTTTCTGACAAACCACAGGCTTGTTCTATCCAAGTAGTTTCTTGGTTCCAGAGCCTCTAATGTCTGGGTTTGAGTATGATTTGCTTTATAGAAACGGTCAGGTGAACTGATATTTTACTGGGAACCCGTTTGGAGGCAACAGCCCCACTAATCAGCATGAAAACAAATAACACTTGGACACCTGAAGCATTTTTAAATTTAAACTGCTCTCATATACACCATCTCAGCTCCTACTCACAACTCTTAAGAGGTAGGCATCATCATCACCACTTAACCTGTAAAAATAATTTTAGAAAACCTTTAGATATCTTCACCTTCAATTTGAGTATAGCCTCCTGAAATTTCTCAGTACAGAATTCAAGTCACGGGTCAGTTAGAAATCTCTAAAGACATACCAATTTCAAGAGTATAAATCAAGAGAATAAGATAGATTAGCCAAAATCTACCAACACTATGTCAAAAACAACCATCCTGCTGTTAAAGGGATAGTGCTTTGTAAAAAATAGTGTTACACAGGAGTGCCTCTATAATGCCTCTATGCTGGAAGGACAGTATTTTATTTACCTACATGTAAAAAACTGGACACTCCCCATAGGCAACAGACAAAATAAAACAAGAACTTTGATCCTAAAATTCTGGGAAGAACCTAAGTGATTCTTCCAGGAAGATACCTAAGTTACAGAGGACAAAAGGTACTCACCCCTTTCCCCTCCAACATCACAAAGATTCACCAGAAGAGTTTTTGTCAGTTTGCAACAAAGAAAACACGCACAAAAGGTCACCTGTTGCTGTTATGTATAATCCCAACTTCCTAAAACACTCATTCTCCTGGTCTCATTTTCCTTTGACCCTCTCCTCAACTGGCTAAAACAGAGGTATAATGGGGGTCCTATTTTCATAGCCATTTATTACCTTTTTTACGTATTTATGATTCTTTGCAGCCTTCTAGGCTTAGTCTGTGTTGGGAACAAAGCACCACACAAATCAAACAGCCTAGGATAAGGGGACACAAGTTAAAACCTCCCAGGAAGATTTTGTAGACACTTGGGCTCCCTGAGTCTCTAGAGGGCTTGGTATTTCAAAGGTCAGTCTTGGGTCTCTTGACTTTGATGACTAATGTTAAATTGCTGGACTTTTTACAAAAATATTTAGCTGTGTTTGTTTACATAATTTCATCCACAGCGCACACAGTAGGCATGTATTTGTTGAACAGAATCCCCACATAGATGAGAAGACAGGAAGAATACCCAAGACCTCCTTTTTCCAACACACTATGGTTGAGAGTTGACAGGTAAAACCACACCCGAATTTGTACAAGTTTCTGTGCATTCCTTTTTTACTTAAAACTACACATATCTGCTTAGAAAAGAAAAGGATGACACACCACACAATGTCAACCACACAATGGGGAAATTCCAGGATCACTAAGAAAACACCATTATTGTAGTCACACACACTTTAATTACTGGTTACCACACAGGAGAGGCTTTAAGAAATGCTGTCTCTCCATCCACTTGCCACAACCCCTCCAGAAAAAGCAAAAGCAGAACACTTGGAATCTAAAGATTCCACATCTTGGACTCAACATCACTACTTTTGAGAAGTAGTCTAAAGATTATGCTGACCCAGAGACATAAAGTAATACACACTAATAGGCAACATTTTTGGAAGAAGTTTCTTAGGCCACCCTGTTTGATGCTTATTTTTCATTATATAACTTTAAAGAAAAACTGGATGTGATTGGCAAAAATATTTTTATGCTTCTATATTTTTAAACCTTATTTAAACGAAGCTCCACCAAGAAAATTCTCATCCCAATTTTCACCGCATCCTGCTACTTCTCTTATTCTCAGCCTCTCAAAAATTCCCCAATGGCTAGGGAAACTATGCGGGGGCTGGCAGGGCACGTCTCAGCTTGGCTCGTTCTGTCCCTAAAAGGCACCCAACTTCCTGGACCCTCTTTCAGGGCCAGCAGGGAGAATACGCAGAACTTGCACAGCGGCAGGGAAGCCTGCGCAGGTCACATTTCCTGACTTGTCTTTCTGCTCGCTGTCTGGCAAGGTCACCCTCTCTGGCTTGCGGCTCTGTCCACATAACTTACTCTCACTCTGTAAGGGCAACGGGTCGCGCCATGCCTCCCCTGCCGCCCTCCGGCCTGGCACCGTCCCGGCCCCGAGGATCCCTGGCCCTCCCCCGGCGCGCGCGGCCTCCGACGGCGAGGACGCCGCTCCCTCGCTCACCTGACCACGTTGGGGTGCTCGAAGGTCTCCAGGTGCCTCAGCACCGCCACCTCGCGGATGGTGGAGAGCGGCATGCCTTCCTCGCCTGTCTGCACCCGCACGCGCTTCAGCGCCACGAACCGGCCTCCGTTCTTCAGGTCCCGGGCCTTGAACACCTTTCCATAGGCGCCCTCCCCGATCTCCGCCACGCACTCGTACTGCTGGTCCGCGCGGCTCAGGCCGTCCTTCTCCATGCCGTCTGGACGCCGCCCGGCGCGGCGCCGCTGGGACGGGCGGGGGGCGCGCTCGGCTCGCTCTCGGCCGCCGCTCGCCTCCTCCCGGACTTCCCGGCCCGCTCCCTCACGCCCCGGAGCTCGGTCTCGCTCTCCCTCGCCCCCGCCGACTACCGCTCTCCCGCGCTCCGGCTCTCGCGGCTGCTGGGGCTGGATGGAGCGACCTCCCCGCGGGCGGGCGCAACCCCGGTGCCGCCGCGAAACTCCGCCTGCCGAGTCGCCAAGGAGCGAGCCGATCCCTCCTCTTCCCTCCCCGAAGCGCAGTCCTCTGCACAGACACCGAGGCGATTACATAGCCTATGCCCCAGCGCGTTTCAGTCCACAATCATTCCACCTAAAAGAAGAGACGGGAGGACAAGAAAAAGTGCAATCAGACATCCCAAGCGCCTTCCTCCGGGTCCCCGCAGACTCCCCTCCTCCTCCTTCATAAAAGCCCCCGTCGCTACCCTCTGTGCGCTCCTGCCCTCTCCCAGGCTGCTTAATCCTTCCTGGTTCCTCCGAGAAAAGCGAAGTTACTTTTCTTTCCCTGCAGAGCGGGAGCCGTCTTCGCGCGGAGAGGTTGCAGGGGCCCCTCGGGGATGAGCGAGCGGCGCGGGACGCAGTGGACGGGAGGGGGCGTGCCGATCAGCCCAGAGTGTGCCGGGAGCGCGGGGGAGGGGAGGTGCCGGGCACGTCAATGTCACGGCTTAATATTTATCCCTACATCATTGTGTTGTACTGCTACCCACCCCACCTCCCCGGGCCTGGACGTGCAGGGAGTGGGGCTCCCAGGGTGCCGTGGGCCTTTCAGGGGTCGTACCCAGGCTGCTGTGGAGAGACTGTGGGTCCATCGGTGTGGGGCTGCAGAATGTGGGTGGGGGCTCCCAGGACCCTGTAACCCGATGCTGGGAGTGTGCGAGAAGGGGTGGTCAGACATCTGCTCGGAAATTGCTTCCTTTCTTTCTACTTTCAGTTTTTCTACGAGGAGACATTTAAAAACGACTTGCACACACAAATGGTCTTTTTGGGGTAAAGGAGTCTGGATTGGAAACGGAATTCTTTCTCCGACTCGGAGGACCTCCCTAGTGGAAACCCATGGGGGTCGGGGAGGGCTGAGGCTCCCGCTACTCGAGAGTGGAGGAACGCTGGGGCCCTGGAGGGGGAGTCGCCCACGGGACCATAAGGGTGGGAGAAAAGGGTATTCGCCGCTCTTTAGCTTGTCATCTCCTTAAAGAATAACTTCGGGAAGAAGGTAGCATGACCGTGACTCGCCCTGAAATTTTCAACTAATTTCAACTTCAACAAAACTGAACCTCGTCTTAAAAAGGCTGGAAGTAGGGGGGGTGTAAATGCCAAGCCTTGGGGGTGAGAGAGAAGGGGCTGCGTCCTCGGGGCCAGGACTCCAGAACCTTTTCCCACACCCTGGATCGTCTCTGAAGTAAGTAGCAGAGGAGGCTGCTCCATTCCTCTTTCGGCTTAAGGCCTGGTCTTATCAGGGGCCAAACGCACCACCTCCCCCAGCCCTCCGCACAACAAAGTGCGGGGAGGGGGCTAGGGGAGGGGCACACTTTCCTTCCCCATTGAGTTGCAATCCAGGACCTAGGGAGCCTCCAACCCACGGCCGCCGCGGCCTCGGCGGGGCATTCACCACGCCGGCCGCGTGTCCGGAATTCCCGGGACGCCTCGGAATTACCTGCCCCGCAAGTTCTGGCCCGCTCGCCTTCTGCCAGGAATTAAAGAAACAAATGGCGCGATCCCCACGGTGTGCGGGCAGAAGGGACCTCAGCGGGGGCAGAGCCCCTCACACTCACTCCATTCGAAACTCTCCTTAGAAAGTGAAGGCGAATCCTGGAGGAGCCAAGGAACGAGACCCCACCCCCCCACCCCCCCCAGG